GTTGAAAATATACTCGTTGAAGTTGATGGTATTAAGAAATTAAGTTATGTTAAGATGAACTCTATTTTGTGGGGCGCTGTGAGGGAGCAACAACAAAAGATTGAGCATTTAGAGGCTTGTATGTTTGAAATGATGGAGGAGATAAAAGAGTTGAAAGTTAAAGGTAAAGCGAAAGCAAAGGCTAAAGCAAAAAGCAAAGAAAATTAAAATATAAACCTATAAATATGGGAAATAAACAATCTACAGTTGAGAACGGTTGTATTCAAGAATTGAGTAAAATTAATGAAGAAGAGTTAGATATTGGTAGGATAGACAAATTACAAATAAAAGCCTTAAAAGAAATCAATAGCAAAATTGAAAAATTGAACAAGGAAAAATCTGATAAGATTATGTATAAACTACCTGCTATTCAACTTTGTAGTTGGAGTTTGATTTAATAGGGTAAAATTGGAATAATTTTCCCATAGATTAATATTATTTTAATAATATTAATCTATCTATTATGATTGAAATAATGTTATTGAATATGGATTTCCGCTTCAAATCTTTTCATAAAGATTTTATTTACATCACTCTCTCTGACTCTCTCTCAACTTTACAAATAGAAATGAGTAGGGTTCTTCAGTGGCTACTCTGTATATTTCATTTATGGTTTTCTTATCAATCAGGGCTGACTGCTCTTGAATGAATGTGTCAAGTTCTGACTGGTTTTTCAGTTTGAAGATGTAAAGGCTACTTGAATTTAACCTGACTATAGGACTTAAAGCGTTATACTTCTGTGTGGCAGTTATGACTGATAATCCAAAATGTCTTGATTTTGTGTATAAGCCGTGATGGATTTTACTATATCTCATAAATGTCTTATCTTCTGCGAAATCATCAACTACTAACAAACAACTATATAACTTGTTCATCTTGTTTTTCTTCTGGTATTTTATCACTTTATGCTGTGTGTCTATGATGTGTGCCAGACTTTCAGGGTCATACTCATCAAACAAATATTGCTCTTTTTTGTTGTCTATTTTTAGTTCTTTCTCTATATATCGGATTACTTCTTTGTATGCTTCATCTATGTGTGCTGTCGGTGATACAATGTATATTCTCTCAAAGCATCCCCTGTAGATTTTTAGAATGAGGTTCTGAATTAATATACCCTTTCCGCCCTGTGATGCCGATACAATGATGCTTCTGAATGGTAGTTTGTCTGCTTGTGGGTATGGTGATTGTTTGAATTCAATACTGTTTTACATTGATAGGCTCTATTTTAGGAACATCAAGTTTTGACATAATATAAATTATTTAGAAAATAAAATATATTATATCTTGTAAATGGCATATCTTATTCTACCTTTGAGTATTGGGGTCAGGTGAAATCTGGAACAGACTGCCATTATTACCCATCATAAGAATGTTAATTAGAAAAATAAAAAAATCCACCCCTTGGGCTCTTGCTTCTTTTTCACTCCCGACACGGTCTCTTTTTGCTATGACAACAAGCAGTAGAAGATGTTGAAGCCTTTTTGCTCTTGAATTTGTTTGATGCTATGTTTCAATCAGCACAGTTCATTTTCTTTGACATTTACCTACCGCCCCTTATGGATTTTTGTTTGGGCCTAAAAATCCATATATAATTAGATAGTAGTAAAATATATCATCTAATTATATAGGATGAGCAGTTGTGAAGTTTTTGATAGTTATATCAATACAATAGATGTGATTGAAGATAGTGTCATTGATGATACTAAGTTTCCAATTGTAAAAGATAATAAACTTAAACTGATATTCAGGGTAATTCTGGAGTTTCTCAAAGTAATAATAAATTATCTTAGGTATTATATAAATGCCACCAAAGAAAGTGAAACCAAAGATGAGTAGTAAAATGAAGAAGCAACCAATACCTGAAGATTTTGATCTATCAGATGATGAACCCACTACAATCAATTTAGATGAGGAGCAAAAACTAACAAGCAAATTTATCACCTTTGATTGCCCACTGTGTCTGGGGAAACTTCAGTTAAGAAATGAAATTGAAATCAACCCCAAGGGAATAAAATGTAAGTGCAATCCGTGTTCATTCAAAATCAGTAAAAATGACAAGACAATGAATGTCAGCAGGGATGACAACGGGGAGATAGTTTTAGAGAGTGAAGACCACAGCATCAGCTTTTCGTGGAACCGGCAAATCACCCCTGAAGACAAGAAAACCGAAAGCACTAACAATATGATACGGGATGTAATGGCTACTACCCCCAGAAGTAAAGGACAAATGGCAATAAATGATATGGTTTGAAACTATTTAAAGAGTGATTCTAACACACGTTGAACTGATAAATAAATAAATATCTAAATAACTATATATAGAAATGTCTGATTTAGATGATAAACAGCCTGAAATGGCAGAGATGCTGAACAAGATGACTAGATACAACAAGAATGTGAAGGTGTTGATGGACTTAATGAACAAGGCATTAGAAAAACTTGATATAATAGTGAAAAATAACCTGCTGAAAATAATGATGCTGATGCTGAAAAGGAAAGGATTGAAAAAATCTTTGAGGCTAAAAAAATCGGGAGACCTGTAGGAACTTTTGAAACCAAGCAACAGCAGTATCTGAAAATGCTGAATGAAGGCAAGATAAAAATGCCTAAGGCATCCACTCTGGAATTTTACAAGATTGAAAGGGACGGTGAAGTCTTCAAAGTGATGGGTGAATAGATGAAATTTTGATAATATTATTATCTATAATAATATTATGAATTTGTTAGAATTGTTTAGTGGCACTGGTAGTGTTGGAAGTGTAGCTAAAAATATGGGCTGGACTGTTGTGTCATTAGATTTGAAAGGGGCTGATATAAACTGCGACATACTACAATGGAAATACAAAAAATATCCAGTGAAATACTTTGATATGATACACGCATCTCCCCCTTGTATTGAATATAGTAGGGCTAAAACCGTCGGGGTTCGAAAAATAGATGAAGCTAACCTAATAGTTTTGAAAACGCTTGAGATAATCAACTACTTTAATCCGCGAATATGGCTGATAGAAAATCCGCAAAGTGGGCTTTTGAAAGAGCAGGAGTTTATGAAAGGGCTTCCATACTTTGATATTGACTATTGTAAGTATGGCTTTAATTACAGGAAAAGAACGAGGCTCTGGACTAACTTGGACACTTGGACACCCAGACCTCTTTGTAAAAAGGATTGTGATAGTATGGATGGGAACAGGCATAAAGAAACAGCACAACGCTTACCCTCAAAAACCAAAGCCGACTGGGGGGATAATCCTGTTTTTCATTCACAGACTGATTTGTATAAAATCCCTCAAGAACTGGTAGAAGAAATACTGAATGCTGTAAATGTTGTATGTTTCAGATAGTTGCGCCTTGCCACTGAAATACTGCGCCTTGAAGTAGGATTTTGATTTCCTACTGGGTAGGATTTTGATTTCCTACTTGAACAAGGGTGGTCTTGAAGTAGGATTTTGATTTCCTATTGGGTAGGATTTTTGATTTCCTACTTTTCTTTGTGAAGTAGGATTTTGATTTCCTACTTGGTAGGATGTTCATTTTCTACTTGGAAAAAGGGCTCATAAGGTAGGATAGGGGGGTCTTACTTGGGCTCATAAGGTATGGGGGCTGGACATTGGGATGTCTAAGGGCTGGACATTGGGATGTCTAAGGGCTGGACATTGGGATGTCTAAGGGCTGGACATTGGGTATTGAGCCTATGGACGTATTCAGCATTTGAATACAGAATAAGGGCGTATTCAGATACTGAATACGGGGTATTCAGCATTTGAATACAGAATAATGGCGTATTCGGATACTGAATACAGAATACGGGTGTATTCGGATACTGAATACGGGTGTATTCGGATACTGAATACGGGTGTATTCGGATACTGAATACGGGGTATTTAACAAATGATTTGTTTTTAGATGGTTTCTTCTTCTCATTCATTTTTATGTATTGGCTTTACCATTGCTGGGATGTGGCTTTGTCGATAAATTATTTCATAATTTATCTTAAAGTCCATTCATAGGTATAGGCTTTACAATAGGCTTTTGAATGAGGTTAAGTGTATGGTTTGTTGTTATGGTTTATGGTAAGGTTTGTTTTATGGTCTATTGTATCGTTTAGGTTGTTTTGTTTTTTCTTTGTTTTATGTGTTTGTTATGATTTTGTTGTTGATTATGTTATAATCTAGGGAAAAGGGATAGGAAAGACACTTAAAGAGTTATTACCTATCTATAGTAGGTAATGGAGGATACTAAAGTCAAGTGTGCTAAATGTTTTAAGGAAATGGAAGAGGGTAAATACAAAACTTGTGATAAATGTAGGGAATATATGAGGGCTAATCATCAAAAGAACAAAGAAAAATATAATGAAAGGAGGAGAGAGTATTACTACAATCATATAGAGGAGGCAAAGGAATATGCTAGAAATTATGGTAGGACACACAGGGAAGAAATAAATGAAAGAAGAAGAAATCATAGAGCAGAAAACATTGAACAAGTGAATGCTAAAATAAAATGGATGACCTGCCCTGTATGTGATGATTATGAAATTCAATGTAAGAATTACAAGAGACACACACAAACAACAAAGCATCTGGAGAACTTAAAGAAACAGCAAACATAAATTTCATTTTATAATTTCAAAATTATAAAAGTGAAATTGTTTTTTGGTATGATTTATGGTATAGTCTTTTTTATAATCTATTGTATTGTTTAGGTTGTTTGAGTTTTTTTGTTTTGTTGTTTTGTTGTTATGATTTATGTTATTGTTTTCTATAAGGTGTTGCTCCCCTGTCTTTGGTATTAACCCCATAGAATTTGCTTGTATAATAATGTGGGCGGTTAGATGAGAAAGACGGGGGAGCAACAGTCTAACTATATGATATATATGATTTATATATATATACCTATAAATATAATATATATATATACATATCATATACGTATTATAACATCAAATTGGTTTCAAGTTCTTCGCTTCACCAGTTCCCCAAGCCTATCCCCACAGGATTGGGCTCCCAGGCCATCTGAATGTTTCGCTGGCCCAAGCGGTTCAGGTAGGCACCGATGCCAACGGAACGCCCCGTAATGTAGGACAAGGTGAAGGTGTCCTGACGAATCCCAGTTGGGATCCCATTTGGGATCCCAAGGGTTGAAGGGAACCATCGATCACACAATTGGGAGAGTTTCTGTAGTCTCAAGCATCAGTTTTAAGCATCGACCACCCAATTTCACCAATCCCCAGTTTGTGAATCGAAAATAACGCTTCAACTCACTGAATTTCACTCAAAAGAGTCGATAGGTTGGGAATGCATCATGGAATTACCATGGCTTTCCATAGTTGGGGGTGCATTCTTGGGAAACGGTTTTCATTGGGTGAATTGATGTAAGCCATATCTGGGCGCCATTCATCCAAGGGGATGTTCATAGGTGCCATGGTCTCATAGGGATTGTCATACACCCACTATGCTTGGAATGGATGACCATACCCCATTTTTACCAGCTAACTTGACCATGGCACATGTGGCTATGGAATCGGATTATCTAAACACTTTGGTTCCGGGCATTCTGTCCATATGTGTCTATATACCTACAAAGACCCACTATTTCCCACTGGAAATATTGGGGGATGGTCATGGTCATAAAACTGGTTATAGTAGAAGTGTTCCATTAGTCATTAGACCCATGATCGTCTGATCCAGGTTCATGATCCCAAAAAATATACCCAGTAAACATCGATAAACATCAAGCAACCACCACTTTATTGAAGATGTATAGATGGTGACACCCCTTGGTGTATAGATATCCCATTTGTTCATATATTGGGGTTACCCTCTGATTATTTAACATAGCTATGGAAAATCACCATGTCTAATAGGTGGATCATCCTTTTTTATCATCTATTGCTATGGGCCATGGCTTCCATTGCTATTTGAAATACTCAGAGGATGACCCCAAGATACATCAAACATCAACAAACCTCCATCATCGATCAAATAATCAACCATAGATTGATATAGATACATCATGATACATCAAACAATCAAGATACATGAAACATCAACCAGTATATGATGGAGTCATGGAGGTTTGTTGATTATAATTGATGTTAAGATACTGGTATATAGTATAATATAGTATAATATAATATAATATTATATTATATTATATTATATTATACTATATTATATATATATATATATTTGTTGATTATAATTAAGATACATCAACTAATCAACCAGGATCCACTGGATCGCCCATCTCCTGGTATGCCCTGCTGGTCTCGCCCGCAATGAGGCCACTGCCCTGGAGGTTCTCAACGCCAATGCCGCCCCTCCGGGATGACCCGGGGGTGACCCGGGGGTGACCCGGAATAGAAACCAATCGAAACTGAACAAAACGTGGGATTCAACCGATTCAAGCAACCAAAAAATCTTGATTTTAAGATGATTCAAGCAGCAAAAACTTGAAACTTCGTCAAAGAGAAAAGGCTATGATCGGGGTGATATGTTCTGGTCTTTGGAACCAAAAATTAGACCTCACCGGCTGGGGCAAGTCATGTAGATGTACCGAAGTAGGGGGGTGAACATCAACCAACATCTGCCTGGGGGCCCCAGGGGGGGCCCAGGGGGGCACCACCAGCGCGGCCAAGGCACTTGGTACTCTTCATGCCCTCTCCGATGATGGCATCCAGGACGTAACGTTCCTCGCCGCCCTGCTGGATCTTGTGCACCTGATGGATGGATGGCTGGATAGATAGATAGATTAGAAATATAGATATAGTATGATATAGTATGATAATGTCTGATAATGTCTGATAATGTCTGATACTCATTTCAAATAGGACAACACGATGGAAAAGTAATGGTTTTTCCAAACCACTGGCCAGTTTTGGAGAATTTGGGGGATGTCGCTGATCATTTGCGCCTTACTCTGTTGGCAATTTTACATGGAAGCTGGTGATACAAAGAACAACTGCACCAATGCAACCAAAGTTAAATCATTCAAATGATTTGCCCCATACTAACTAAAGTTAAATCATTAGAATGACTGGCCCCGTACTATAATATATGTGACCATATGTGACCCATACTACTTTTTTCACAAATAGAGTTTCGATCAACCCGATGCGAAAGACTGGCCGCGGTGCCGCACCTCCACGCTGCCGGGGGGCAGCTTCTCATAGTCTGCCTTTAAGAGGTAGAGGTACTCGAAGCCTCACCAACTGGGACAGAGGTCGACATGGCGACTGGCATCCCATGATGATCAGTACTTAAAAATAATCGTGACCATACTAAAGATGGCGATAATAGTGAAGAGAGTAATAAGGACCATAATCATGATAATATTGATGATGTTTTTTTTAGTAGTTGTTATTATATGTTATTATTATATGTTATTATTCTTATTACATAATATATCTCATTTTAATATGATTTATATAATAGCAATAGCTAATAACAATCGCCATCATCATCATCATCATCATCATCATCATCATCATCATCCTCATCATCATCATCATCATCATCATCATCATCATCGGCACTATTTCCATAACCATCACCATGCAGACCCCACTGCGCCTTTGCCGCAATCCTTGGGATCGATCCACTGAACCTGCAGAAATTTAACGGCTCTTCCAAAGAGGCAATGGGTCAGTTGGACCGGGATTTTACAGGGAAAAAAAAAGTGTTTTCCATTATTATCATTGATAAGTTGGTGAATCATTGATGTTAATGGTAATAATATTGCTTAACATCAATGGTAATGATTTAACATAAATGGCAATGGTCAACATCAATGATAAGTTGGTAAATCATTACCATTACCGTTATGGTTATCATCATCCCACCATCATCATCACCATCAATTTATGGAAGGTTTCCGTAGTTCTTCCCCTAAGATCAAATCTGGCAACCTCAAAAACCAGATCCTTCTGGCGTATCTCCACAGTTTCTTTTCAAGCGTGCCCTTTCAAAGAGGGATAAACCATGACTGGTTGGTGATTTTAACCATCTTGAAAAATATGAGTTCGTCAATGGGGAGGATTATCCCTTTTCTATGAAATGGAAAATACAATTCATGTTCCAAACCACCAACCAGATGATATACATCTCCAACCAGGCTAGGGAAGTTAGGGAAGAGCAGCAATGACCCGCGTTTTCGCCTTGTAGAGAGGCTTCAATTCTTCCACCAGGCCAACTCGGGCACCTTGGATGCTGGCCCTTTAAGGGCACCTCCAAACAGCATGGCTATCGGTATCTGGGCTGTCAAGACATGGCATATGTGGCATATGGTTTATGGTCATCATGGTCATCCCACAGAGTGTGGATTAGTTCCTAATGGATTGATGACCATCCCCCAATCTGGATATATATATATATATAATGTGTACTCCCAGTTTTGACTATGAGTTTTGCCTGATGTTTTTTTGGGAGAAAAACACAAAAATCTGAAGGTGAATCATCATTTCAGTTTTGTTCACCATTGGAATGGCCATTTTATGGGCTAAATCCCCCACTGTCGGACCACTGTCAGACCAGCCAGGGCTCCGGGCCGCTGTTGCAGGAGACATAGATCCGGGGCAGGCCAAGCACACGTGCCAGCTCGGACGCCTGCAGCAGGGGGGCAAAGCTGTAACTTGGGCTTTAAACTTTGAGTTGGATAAGTTGGTAAAACAAACATAAACAAACAATTAAAGTTGGGAAAACAATGTGTCGCTGTCACATCAAACTTTTTGGGCACATCTTCAATTTCGACGTTCATATCGAATTTCATAAGCTCCCTGAACAAGCTTAACACATCCTTATTCAATCTTATTCATCACCAATGATGTGTCGTTTTCCAGCGCTTCTGGTCACCCAACAGACGCCTTTTGGAAGAACTGGTCCTCGCGGACTCCAAAGGAGCCAGCCTTCAAAGCCAGTGGTTGCAGGTCATGAGATGCCAAGAGTGGGAATCCAAATGCACCAAACTCGACATATATATAATATATATATATATATATATATAATGACATATATATATATATATATGCATTACATTACGTCCACCCTTCTTGTCCCTTCAAAGCGCACTTTTGTGCCCGGGCCAAGGTGCCCCCTGTCAAAAGGCTGTACACAGCCACCCTTAAGCGCTTAAGGTGACTGAAGGAAAAGAAAACCACCAGGCTTTGTCACGATGGAGGAGCCCGGGGAAGGAAGGGGGGAAGCCAAAAGCTCAGGGCGGACCACCATTCATGCATGCCCTCCCAGGTCTGGAGAAAACATGCATTACATTACGTCCACCCTTCTTGTCCCTTCAAAGCGCACTTTTGTGCCCGGGCCAAGGTGCCCCCTGTCAAAAGGCTGTACACAGCCACCCTTAAGCGCTTAAGGTGACTGAAGGAAAAGAAAACCACCAGGCTTTGTCACTCCTCCCCCTCCACGCGTCCCAGCCCGGCAGCCTTAAAGCACAGCTTGGCTGCGCGGACTCGAGCAACAGCGGTGGAAGGGAGTTGGATTCGAGTCAACTCCTGCAAAGCCTGGTCCAAATACAACCTAGCAGTTGAAACATTCTGCCACCTCCCTTTGATGAGAAGCTGTTCAAAAGTCATGCCTTCCTTGTAGGCGGACGTAGCTCCTCCTCTTCTAAGAGAGTATGGTAAATAGTGAAATGAATTCAGACCTAAGTGGTCGACGACCTCCTTCCACACCGCACGGTACTTTGCCGGCGCTGTGTCCACAAGGCGTTCTGTGCCATTTTTATTCTTGCAGAGAAAGTGGAGGCATGCTTTAGCACACCGCTCGTAGATCAACACCTTCTCTGCAGTGAGGAGATTGCGCTTTGCAGTTTTGGTGTCATAGAGGAATATGATGGAAGGCTGGTTTGCTTTGCGCGCCAAGACCACATCTGATCTTTGCAAGGCAAACATCTCTCCCGTCCGCAGGAGTCCAGCGAATCCAACCACGGTCAGACAGGCCAGATCTTCCCATTTCCACTTCCAAAACACCCCAGCAAACGCCAGCAACAAGGAGGGGTCTAACGGAGTGGCACGCCTTGGCTGTTCAATTTTCTGCCACAACCCCATCAATTTCCAAGCATTCTTAAGCCTCCCTTTTGCATCAGGGGCGAAGTGCTGGATGGCAGCTATAGCATAGCTACCTTGAGAACGCGATTCACCATCCTCCCAAAGCATCTCTACAAAGGACGACAAAATGTCATCCAGATTGTCTTGCCTCAGCAGCATCTGAGGACTTAAATTCACATACTTGGCCACTTCCTCGAGAGAGTGGTGGTAACGCTCTCGCGTGCAAGGTGAAATCTTTTGGTCTCCCAGCCGTCCAATCTTTTGCCTCTCTTTCTTCCTCTCTGCCTTGGTTTCCCGATGGGGGATCACTTTAGCCATACTTTCTTGATGGCCCATCTGCCGGGTTTAACCGGCTACTGATCCACGCCCAAAGGGGGTACAAGTTCAGGCAGAGGCAGAGAGAGGCTACTTTTCTCAGCAATCGATTGATCCGGCGGGACGACGACCGGCCCTTTGTCAGCACTGCCAGGACGATTTGCGAGTCAGACAGGTGCATGAACCGGCAACTGTGAAACGCCGTGCTACGGCTCCTCCACTCAAGCGTCCGCAGCACGGCCCTGAGCTCAAGGAGGTTGATATGTTCTCGCTTGCTCCAGCGATAGGCTTGAGCCGTTCTCCAGAGCCACCTCCGCGGGTCAATGCTCGTCCTCTTGACAGCATCTGGCCGATATACCACGCCTAGATCCAGGCGAATGTCTGACCCTCGAAACTCACATCGTCGAAGGTACTGATGGATCAACCTCACACTGAGTGGGTCTGGACCATCCTTTGCTTGGCCTTGCCCGCACATGCGCAACCACTCTGCATTACGTGGCGCACCATCTTGGCTCATCGCCTCCTCCTCCAACTCAAGTTCTTGCAGGCTCGAACTCATCGCCTGCTTCTCCTTCAGCAGCAGCCCTCCAAAGTCGCTGAATGCCTTTTCGCTCATCTCCTTATGCCATCGCTCCACAATGGCCTTTGCACCCATTGGATCAGTGCGAACTCCAGCTGACCACAGCCACAGGTCAATCAGGCATGCTACTGTCACGGCGTGGAAACTGTTGCCCAGGGCAGCACAGCGTGCTACCTCCTGTTGCTCCATCTCAAAATCGGAACCAGGCTCTTTCTTGAAAAGCCCGAGCGTGTACCCGGTCGGGTAACCCATCAGCCTTTCTCTTTCAGACGCTGAGGCCACCCGCTTCTTGTTTGAGTCCTTCTTTGATTCAAACAAGAAGTCCTCTTTGTAAGTGTAGGGAGGGTACTTCATCTTGTCCTCCTTCCACCTTTTCAAGGTGGCCTCGTCGCATCCATCAATTCCCGCCGGGCACACCGGGGGCCTGCTCCGAGGAATGGCCCTCGTAAATGTAGGCAGCCTCTTTTCTTCATCCTGGTTTCCAGCGGCCCACAGCCATCCCTCATCACAGAAGAATTCCATGGGCTCCAGCTCCTCCTCAAAGCAAAGCTCGTCCCAGAGTGCATAGTGCGCCTTCGTATAACTCGAATGGTCCTCCAGGTCAGCGTTGCTCCAGTACAACCGGGGCCTTCGAACCCGAGACAACCCGCTCGAGCAAACTCGAAGTGGAGGCGCACCCAGCTCCTCTGTCATTTCCTCCACATCAGCTTCATCACCAACCACATTCTCAAGGAAGTTCAGGTTCCAGACTTCCATCTCACCACATATATCAGCAATCCACCCAAAGATCTCACACAGGCGGTAAAACAGCTTCGACCTGGGATCTTCGAGGTGTTTCCTGTTGGCCGAGAGCTGCGACAAGCCTTGGCATGGGGACCCGCCCCCTGCAATCACGCCTGTCAACCCAGGCACTCCTCTAATGGCCTTTTCCAGCTCCTTCTTGGTGACCTTCTGGATGTCGCTCATCAGATCGCACCCTGGCCACCGTACAGCGTTTAGCCGCCTGCAATCCGGGTCATTTTCCACCACCAAAAGGTGGGCCACTTTCACATCAGCCAACTGAAGGGCACGGGAAAGTCCCCCTATCCCAGCGAAGAAATCAATTGCCAGGACCACTTGAGGCCCATCCACATTCACCTCTTCTTCTGGAGGCTCCTCCCAGCCCTCTTTAATGGCCAGTACCTCCTTCAATCCTTGCTGGGACAGTTTGTGCCCATACACCATTCCGCCACCGGTTTCGCTGGCGTCCGAGGCTGTCACCAGTTCATGCAGCCTTGCCCTCAGATCCGTCCTTCTCAGCGGTTGCAGAAGTCCACTGAGCAATACCTCTTCCACTGATTTCAGCCCTAGTTCCACCATGGGGGAACCCTGGGCCACATCCTTCCAGAGGTAGTCAAATACCCCAAAGACAGGACGTCTGAACTGCATTGTGTGGACCTCCTTTCCCAGAAAGACCTGAAGGGCTTTTCTTGGTACTCGTTCCTGGCGCAACAGCCAAAACCCCAACGAGAGGTTCTCCAGCGCACGTTTCGTGGATCCTTTCAAGACCCCTTTTTCTCCATCAACCACGGCCCCAAGTTTTTCGGCCGCTTCATTCCTTACCAGTGCCTTTTCCTTTGACACTGCAATTCCCCAGTGCTGGTAAGCCCTTCTCAGGCGCTCCTGCTCAGCCGAGGGTTTTCCTTCCAGCTCCTTGGCAACGCGTTTGTCCAGGATCTCAACCAGCGTCGTATCATCCAAGTAAAGCGACCACATCGATCGCTCCAGTTCCAGGTCTGGGAATTCCGCGTCCCGCCTGATCTCACACGCCCCCAGGAGGCCGGCTCCCCCTGACAAAGGTGATCTGAGGGCCAATCGTCGGTGGGCATGCTGAAGAACACCCACCGCCGAGGCCCAGCCCATGGGCAATACCCTAGCCCCCAGGTATACTGAACCCGGCCGGCTAATGCCCAGTGATGTCCATGGCACCTTCTCACCGAAGCACATCATCCGTGACCATCCTGGGGGCAATGCGAACAAATAAAAAGCAGCTACAAGGTCTTCTGCCGAGACCCTCAGTACGCTGCTGTTCGGGAGAACGATATGTTGCAGTGCCGGGGCACCGGTCAACTTCCGAACGTCTCCTTCAAGGATCCGAGTGGCAGCGTTGACCGCTCTGAAATCCATTATGAGTCGGAGGATCGGGCGCTCGTCCTCTAGGAATTTGCCTGGCTTGACCACGCCGAATGCGCCGTTGCAGATGGGCTTGCCTTTGATTTCCAAAGGACTTTCAACTGGTTCCACCAATCCACGGGTATAAAGTTCTTTGGCTATCAGTTGCCACTGCTCTGGGCTGGCGTGCACCTTGGGTTTCGGCAGGTCTTCCGGCATCTCCTCCTCCTTCAGCACATTGCCCTCAGGGTTCATAAGCTTTTCTCTCAACTCCCCATCGCAGAGCTCCACCAAGGGGACACTACCCCCGAAGCCTGGAGGAGGAAGCCCAGGCAAGATCTGCGCCAGGGTCAACTGGTGGGCTTTCTCAACAATCTCACCCTGATATGAGATCCGGACGTCACCCAGCTTCTTTCCCCACTCACCCAGGGTAGGTGACCTGGGTACTTTTTCTTGGGTTTCCGACCGGTCATCAACGAAATCGCGCACCACATCCCATATCCTATCCAGGGCCATCTGCTGAGCCTTTGAAGGTCCTCCTCGATGAACTTTTCCAGAATTGCCACCTCCGGTCCAAAGGGCATTGATGCCGGTCACAACCAGCCCATGCCACAATAGCATACCACTCCGACGGATCTGCTTTGCCGCTTTCTCTTTGTTCTGCTTCTTGGCCCCCCAGCTTCCAGCAAGTCGCCGAAACTCGCCCTCATTGAAAAGCTTCTCCATCTCCGCTCTTGCATCAGGTAAAAGCGGTAAAGGAAGAATCCCCCTTTGTCTCCTTCCTGAATCACCGTCGTCTGGCCCGGGCTGCAAAACCTGATGCAAGTAGCTGCCTAACGGCGTACCACTGCGCCATACGCTGAGGGCCAGCAGCGCCCCTGTCTGGGCCACACTCAGTCCTCCAGTCTCCTCAGTCTCCAACCATCGTTTGAACATCTCCAGACTCGACTCGGCCTCCTTCTCGGGGTTCACAGTCTCGAAGCTCTCTTTATCAGTCAAGACTTCGGGGGGGTTGGGCTCCTCTCGCTCCTCTTCTCCCCTTCCTTGGGTCTCGAGTCCTTTCCTCCTCCTTTTCCTCCCCCCTTCTTTCCCTTTCCGCCCTTCTTGAACGGCCTCGTCCTCCACTTGCCTTTTCCTTTCGCCTTCCCCTCGCTCTTGGGGCTCTCCTTCTCGGCCGCATTCTTCTCTCCGATCATCAGTGGCTTCTCGTTGAAAACCACCCGGCGATGGTCGCTCTCCCTCAGGGCCGCTGGCCGACTTGACCTGGGTGGCGTCACGGTGCCCTCCACCTGCCGGGCACCGCCGCCGAGTCCCTATTTGTCGCCCTTCCTCCCCTTCAGCGTCATCTCTTTCAGCTTGTTTGCTGAGATCTCCATCCGAGCCGTCCGACGCCTCTCGGCTTCTGTTGTCAGACTGGCTGCATGGGGAGGGATCAGCTCTTGATGTTTCGCCGAGTGCCATCCTTGATCCACCAGCGAGGTTTCCACCGCCTTCAGTCTCTGCATGAGAAGGTCGCCCAGCTCCCCCAGCTGCCCCTGAATGAGCATGTCGATGGCTCGACCTAAGGTCCGCAGCTCCCTGTGATTGCGGACCCCGATGGTCCCTGGAGGATGCTGGGTGAGCACCACTTGACTGACGTAGGCCATCATTCGATGGCTCATCCACGTGTCGGTGCCGCCTTCTTCGCCGGGTGCCCTCTCGGCTAAATAGCGGGCCATTTCCTCCATCCCTTTCTTCAGAAGGGCCCCGGGGTTTTTCCTGCTTTGCCGCCACATCTCGACCTCCCCCCGGGTAGAGGGCTCTCGAAAACTTCGTGACGACCCTGATGAGTCAGATCTTTCATGCCACTTTTCACCAGGGCTTGAAGACCGCTTACGCCTCCTTCGCCGGCGTCCTCTGCTCCGGCTTCGCCCTCTGTCAGGCCGCCTTCTCTGATCCTGCCGTTCCTTGTCAGCCAGAGCAGCTCTCCTCTCTGCGGCCTTTCTCTCCAGCATCAACCCTACTAAGCCCTTTGGATGAACCTCAGGCCGGCCTCCTTCATTCTTCTTTCTTTTCTCCACCTGAGCCTCCTCCTCAGCTTCACCAGCTTCGGCAAGTGCCTTGTCCAAACCCGTTGGATCAGCCCCCCTAGCCCCACCCGGGGGCCCCGGAGGGTTTGGTGGCTCCGGCACCTTTGCGGCAAAATTGGACACCCAGTTGTTCACCGCCATGAGTGCCACTTCCTTGGAGTAGTCGTGCTCCATCATGACCATGGGGTTCGTCATGCGCCACCGCTCCAAGTGCACCATCTCCCGCCTGTCGCCTCTGCCCAAGCGAGCCGTGCACTGGGACCTCTTTGACCCGCACAGGTGATATATCCCTTTGCCCTCCTGCAGTTCATGTTGGGCATACCAGTCATAGTAGGGATCGGACGCTCTCAGGTGGACACCTCTAAGTGTCCCCAACGCATAGTCATCCCAGTCTAGCAGCCTTATAATGGCTTTGCCCTGTGCTCGCCCTCTGGCGTCATAGCACTCGTACTCCATGATGCCGTCACGGTTCATCACGCGTCGGGCATAGTCCAAGACATTTCCAGGATGCGTTGCAGCATCAACCCAAGCCAGGTCTTCAGGCTGCAGGCCATTGGTGATGAGGCCTGTCCAATCCCCAAGGGTCCCTCCTTTTGCCAAAAGGCTCTGTTTTGCCGCCTCCATCTCCTTTATCCTTACCCAGGACCTTGAGGCTCAAGCCCCAAGGGATAGGGATTCAAATCCCCCTCCCAGGTCTCTTTCCTCCTCCTGATCGCAGCCAGTACCGTTTAGCAACCACGGTTGGCCTGCCTTCAAGAGAAGGCCTGGCCACCCCTGGCTCCAAACCCTGCAGGTCAGGGAGGACCCCCTATCTCCGGAGAGACCTGGGAGCCTCCACTGACCCGCCACGCACGTAAGAGGGTCTGGCCCACCCTAACCTCACGAGAGGTCCAGGGAGGCCTTCCCCCCACACTGAAGCCAAAAGCTCAGGGTGGACCACCATTCATGCATGCCCTCCCAGGTCTGGAGAAAACATACACATTTAAATGACTTAAAATAATTTAGTGAATGTTTAAATGAAAATAATTAAACAAACAAAGTGGTAGGAAAATCATGGGTTGCTGGATAAAGTTGAACCAAAAAAGACTGTCTAAACTAAACACTTTTCTTTGAACCAAACTGCCACATGTTTGCCACCTGGAAGGTCACATCATTGGCAAGGAGAATCAGGTCACGTCCTGCGGCGTGGGGGCTCAACCAATTTTTAGATCCTAAGGTCCTAAGTTGCTGGCGACATGATGCTAGATCTGGATCATCCTAAATCCAACTGTACACCCCGTTCGTCACGAAATAGATGGGTACCCTCTGGTAATTTAACATAGCTATTGAAAATGGCCATTTATAGTGAGTTTTCCCATTAAAAATGTTGATTTTCCATAGCTATGTTAGTTTACCAGAGGGTAGATCATAAACCACTTCTGAGGATATCTCCAGGGCCACATCAACAAGCGGAGGCTACCGTCCTTCAGGGTACTCCGGGGTCTTCAAGGTCAGTTTCCAGGCCAGCATTCCTACGTCGTTGCTGCCTGCAATGGGCTCGCAACATGACCCAACCCTAAGGAGTTACCACTGTTCAACCACCAAAAGTGGGGTTGTCCCCAAATAATATGGATATGGATGATAAACGACTGGATTCTTGGGGTACCCCGCTTGCAGACAAACCAGAGTGATGTTTAACCCCCCACAGCACCCCCCACATATTGCAAAATGCAAGCAGCCCTCATTTGTGAGGACTTGTGTGTGTCATCACCATTTCCCTCGCTCTTCAAGAGCCATTAACTGAGCTAGGTCGCTTCAAAACAAGTCACCCACAGCTGCCATCAATGGGCCATCAAAATCTTCCAATACCAGAGATTTAGATCTCCAACAGTTCATCCAGCATCAAGCCACCTGACTGAGAACTCTACGACGGCGCCGCCTTCAGCACGCTCCATCTCCACCAACTCCATCTTGGACCAATCCATGACCTTGGTCAATCCCTCGTGGCATCAAGAATGATAGGTCTATAGGTCCACAAATTCGAAGGGGAACCAACAGCTTTGGGGCCCCATAGCCCCAATCAATTCCAATCAGCAAGAGCACACGATGGACAGGAGCAATATATACTTACCTCATCTCTACCCATCTTGACTCAAAAAATGCCAATCTAGCGGTTGGTCATATCGTCATATCCCCATTTTTGGTGGGTTCAATCACCATCCCCTTGGTGCCCTCGGTCCCCAAGATGTTTCAAAATGCCCATCTAACGGTGGCTCATCCCCGAGGCCCAAGCCAGTTCCACCACGGACAAGATATCCTTTGGCATTGCCTCAGGCACCTGCAAGCCGTGGCGCCATAGGGATCCCAGGCAGTTGTGCTTGGGAAAACAAAAAAACATCGGACAAGACAACAATTTGTCTACACCCTGTCTGTTGTAGATTTAGGCTGTCCTTATTGTTACAGTATTCAATAAGTGTTTGTTATTCTAGGTTCTCCTCACTTCTTGCCGGCCTGAATTCAGCAAAAACGCTGACACACATTTAGTAGCTGGTGCTCCACAGTATCAACTTGAAACGGGCCGACCTCTCCTTGGAGGATCAGAGGGGCTATAGGTGACATGGATATCCGAAATAATCGACCCTGCCCGCGAAACAACAAGAACCTTTCAAAAAACATCACAAAACATCAAATTCATGAATAGTCAATTTGAGAACCCATCCATTCCCATGATGTTTATCGGGAATAGTCAATCACTTGATGTGTTTATCCATCTATTCCCCATCTTTTTTGCTGGGAATAATTGAGATTGAAGCCATCCATTGATCCAACGGCACCTGAGACGGCACCGTGGGCGCTCCTCTCCTTGGGTTTCCATGGGTCATTGGGGGATCCCCATGATGATGGATGGTTTATTTCATGGAAAATCCATGAAAATCCTATGTTTTTAATGGATGATTTGGGGGTTTTGGAAACCCCTTTTTGCTGTAGTTGTAATAGTTGTAATTGTAATAGTTGTAATATGTCCGTAAGTCTTCTCTGGTGTATTTACGGTCGCTATAATTGTAGTTGCTATTGATGATTATAGTTGAAATTGTTTATGTATGACTATCCATGGAATCTGGCCGAACTTGGCTATGTAACCTCTGAAAGGAAAGAATGGTGTCTCAGTTTTTTTTCCGGTGTCGCCCTCAAAAAGCTAGTTCCCAACCTAAAGCAAAAAACGTGATCTGGAGACGATATGATAGGTGGGTAGTAGATGTATGTTTGTCCCACAATTGAGGATACAATCCCGTTACTATCCACGCGTAACATTGATAATGTGGCAAACACCCACACAAAAATCAATCATGTGTGGATTTGTAGATCATTCCCTTCAGAAATCATGGATTCGTTCATTGATTTTAAGAATCTCTGCCATTGGATGATATCTGGCTCCAGAAAAGATGCATATATTTTGCGGCATTCCATGGATCCCAAGATGCTTAATCTCCATTGTTTACGGCCAAATCTCCACCTGTTTGAGGATGAAATCCCCAGGTTTTTCATGGATAGTTCCCAGTGTTCATGGTCAAAGCCCCGTTGTTTACCCTTTGATCATTTAACATAGCCATGGAAGCCAAGCCATTATGGCCCGTTTATAGATGATAAACACGAGGATTTACCTGTACCTATTAAACATGGGTGGCTTTCCATGGTTTTTCCGTATGTGAAAGTACCAAAGGGTCAATGAGTTGGAGGTTTTCTCAAAATGGGGCAAAACCTCCAACTCATCCATGAAAAAAACGAATTTTGGATTCTAAACCAAGCATTTTTGGGGATCCCAGGTGAAAAAAATGATGATCCCATGGATTTTCCATGGTTTTTCCATAGGATTTTCCTTCTCAAAATGGGGAAGTCCCACGGATCCCATGGCCGCATACCAAGCGTCATGGAGCGGGGGGAGGGGCTGCGGCGTCGCGCTCCACCACCGCGAACTGGCACAAGAGACCCATCCCCCACCCCCGTTATTCATAAACCTATTAGTTGATGAATTCATGAGTTGATATTAACCCAATAGGTTTATTAACTAATTAGGATATTAACCCATGTAATAGTTGGCGAATTACTATGTTTCATCATATGATAATTGTTGGATATTAACCAATATATCCAATATTGATGAATATATCTAATTCATTATCAACTCATCAATTGGTGCATTTGGCTATAGGTATCTATAGGGTGAATCATGATCAACATCCCGGAATACTAAAATCTGTGGTCCCTTCTGGGGCTTTGACCATGTTTGACCCATCGCGTAATAGAAAAACTAATATTGATGAATCGTTATAACATGTTATAACAATAGTGTGAATATCATCAATATTAGTTGTTCAATATTATTTATTAACTATTGAAAACTAATTGTGATATCAACTAGTGTGAATGGATTGAATGGATTGATGATCATCTCCCTTTTTTGATAAACTAGTCCATGTTTATTGACCATGGCACATCATCTCTGCAGAATACAACTCCAGTCCAATCTGCCCCACTGACCGCAGATGGAATACAAAGAACCAGGGGGTTGCTGTTTATCTGTGATTATGTTTCTTTAATTCACCATAAATTACCATAAATACTAAGTACTGAAAATTGCCCTTATGATTCTGATTCTTGCTGGTCCCCTCGGTTTTCAATTTATTTACAGTAATCAAAGGAAGTTTAGGGGGAGAAACTTCCGTGTTACGGACTTTTAGAATGTCAGGGAAAGAGTTAGTCAAAGAAAGAGTTAGCAAAGAAAGAGTTAGTGAGGGAAAGAGTTAGTCACAGAAAGAGTTAGCAAAGAAAGAGTTCGTCAGGGAAAGAGTTAGTCAAAGAAAGAGTTAGTCAAAGAAAAGTTAGTCAGGGAAAGAGTTAGTCAAAGAAAGAGTTAGTGAGGGAAAGAGTTAGTCAAAAAAAGAGTTAGCAAAGAAACAGTTAGTCAGGGAAAGAGTTAGTCAAAGAAAGAGTTCGTCAGGGAAAGAGTTCGTCAAAGAAAGAGTTAGTCAAAGAAACAGTTAGTCAGGGAAAGAGTTAGTCAAAGAAAGAGTTAGTGAGGGAAGTTTAGGGGGAGAAACTTCCGTGTTACGGACTTTTAGAATGTCAGGGAAAGAGTTAGTCAAAGAAAGAGTTAGTAAAGAAAGAGTTTGTGAGGGAAAGAGTTAGTCACAGAAAGAGTTAGCAAAGAAAGAGTTCGTCAGGGAAAGAGTTAGTCAAAGAAAGAGTTAGTCAAAGAAACAGTTAGTCAGGGAAAGAGTTAGTCAAAGAAAGAGTTAGCGAGGGAAGGAGTTAGTCAAAAAAAGAGTTAGCAAAGAAACAGTTAGTCAGGGAAAGAGTTAGTCAAAGAAAGAGTTAGTCACAGAAAGAGTTCGCAAAGAAAGAGTTCGTCAGGGAAAGAGTTCGTCAAAGAAAGAGTTAGTCAAAGAAACAGGTAGTCAGGGAAAGAGTTAGTCAAAGAAAGAGTTAGTGAGGGAAAGAGTTAGTCAAAGAAAGAGTTAGTCAAAGAAAGAGTTAGCAAAGAAACAGTTAGTCAGGGAAAGAGTTCAAAGAAAGAGTCAAAGAAAGAGTTAGTGAGGGGAAGAGTTAGTCAAAGAAAGAGTTAGCAAAGAAACAGTTATCAGGGAAAGAGTTAGTCAAAGAAAGAGTTAGTGAGGGAAAGAGTTAGTCAAAGAAAGAGTTAGCAAAGAAACAGTTAGTCAGGGAAAGAGTTAGTCAAAGAAAGAGTTAGTGAGGGAAAGAGTTAGTCAAAGAAAGAGTTAGCAAAGAAACAGTTAGTCAGGGAAAGAGTTAGTCAAAGAAAGAGTTAGTCAAAGAAAGAGTTAGTCAAAGAAAGAGTTAGTGAGGGAAAGAGTTAGTCAAAGAAAGAGTTAGTCAAAGAAACAGTTAGTCAGGGAAAGAGTTAGTCAAAGAAAGAGTTAGTGAGGGAAAGAGTTAGTCACGAAAGAGTTCGCAAAGAAAAGTTAGTCAGGGAAAGAGTTCGTCAAAGAAAGAGTTAGTCAAAGAAACAGTTAGTCAGGGAAAGAGTTAGTCAAAGAAAGAGTTAGTCAGGGAAAGAGTTAGTCAAAGAAAGAGTCAGTGAGGGAAAGAGTTAGTCAAAGAAAGAGTTAGTGAGGGAAAGAGTCAGTCAAAGAAAGAGTTAGTGAGGGAAAGAGTTAGTCAAAAAAAGAGTTAGTCAGGATATTTGGGGTAGTGAAAGAAAGAGTTAGCAAAGAAACAGTTAGTCAGGGAAAGAGTTAGTCAAAGAAAGAGTTAGTGAGGGAAAGAGTTAGTCACAGAAAGAGTTAGCAAAGAAATTGTTCCCTCACTGTAAATGGGATTGCAAGTGGTCCTGGTGGAGGAGTTGCCGATGGAGTTTTGAAGGAAGTCTCGCACAAAATGCGTTTCTGAGAGATAGCAGATGCACGAAACCGTATGTTTTTCCAGACAAAGTGCGTCCCCGAACGTCGATTATCTACCTCTGCGGTGCGACGGGTGCGAGACGGTCTCGTGTGTGGTCGGATCATGCTCGGATCGGTCTCGGACCATGGTCGGACCATGGTCGGATCGGTTCCGCATTGTAAATGGGGTTTCAAGTGTTTTTCGTGCATGTGCGGTCGACAGAATTCCATTGTGATTTGCAACTGTAGGATCGTTCCCGCAATGTAAATGGGATTGCAAGTGTTGCTGGTGGATGAGTTGCTGATGGAATTCCATTGTGATTTGCAACTGTAGGATCGTTCCCGCAGTGTAAATGGCTGCGTCAAGGTTGCTTCGTGCTGTGGCTGCATTCGTAATACTATTGTCTTTTGCAGCTGGACTTCGTAAATCGTATTGGAGTGGCTGCATGAAGGCTGCCACAATGATTTGTCAGCAGATTTTCTCCATTTTGGCGCTAGTGATTTTCCTTCTAAAAATCCTTTTAAAAAGTGCTTCAAAATCGTCTTTTTTTCGCTCTGGGGTCGAGATCCGGTTTTGGAGCTACAATTTCCGACGCCGTTGCGCGTAGTTCTATTGTGTTTTGCAACTCAGTCTCTGCAGATCGCATTGTAATGGCTGCGTCAAGGTTGCGTCGTACTGTGGCTGCATTTAAGTTTGGAGTGCGAAGAGCGCAGTGTGAAGTGTGAAGTGTGAGGTTTGGAGTGTGAAGGAAGCAGTGAGAAGTGAGAAGTGTGAAGTGTGAAGTGTGAAGCTTGGCGTGTGAAGTGTGGAGTGTGAAGTTTCAGTTTGGAGTGCGAAGAGCGCAGTGTGAAGTGTGAAGTGTGAGGTTTGGAGTGTGAAGGAAGCAGTGAGAGGTGAGAAGTGTGAAGTGTGGACTGTGAAGTGTGAAGTGTGGAGTGTGGAGTGTGAAGTTTCAGTTTGGAGTGCGAAGAGCGCAGTGTGAAGTGTGAAGTGTGAG